GCTCGAAACCCTTTCGATATGAGTATGTGTGACCTCTGTTTCACATCCCTCCCCGTAAGATGATCAAAAGAGACTCGTATTGACCTTCCCCAAAGCCCACGTCCCCCCCTTTACGGTCCTGGAATTTAACCCCCCTGTCTTTACTCAGATGAACTGGGGGTTTCAAATGCAAAAAAAACACCAACAGAGAGAGAGAGAGAGAGCTTCGCTACCACTAATTTTTCTTTCCTCTCCCCTCCACACCCTCCACGCCCCCTCCCCAAATAAAAGTAACCATCCCACTTTTTTTTTCTGGGTTTTTTTTATTCGTGTGTGTATTTGTGTTTGGCGTGGTTTGCGCCAGACAAGTTTCAAGTTTGAAATGTAAAGTCGAATTGAAATGTTAAAAGAGATTTAAGGCTTTACAAAAAAAGTGGATGAAATAAAATGCATTAATGGCAAACACACAAATATATATACAGTAAATGATAACCCATTGCAAAATATAGCAAAATAACCCATATATATATACACATATAAAATAACCCGCATACAGTATATATGTATATATATATATAGGTTGTTTTGCCATATATATATATGTGTGTGTGTATGTGTGGTCTTTTTTATTAATTACTTTTATTTTAAAATATTGTTAAAAAAATAAATAGAGTAATATAAACTGTGTGGAAATGGCTGGCGATATATTGGGCACCGCTGTCCATGTCAAATAAAAATCTGCGGTTTTATCGATCGATATGTATATATATAGATATATATAAAAGTATGCAAGTTTAACAGTTGTCTCGATATTAAAAAAAAGCGGATTGGAACCGATTAATCAATGTAATCGGGGGCACCTGATCGCAATGCATGGTCACCTCTCTCGATATTCTATTCCCATCCCGAGGGTGATTGACATTTAACTGCTCTGCGAGACAGGACACATGTTTTGGGGGGACAGTTGTTAAGAGAAACAGATCATTTGCAACTTTGTGTGGGGAAGGAATAGATCTGCGGATCTATTTGCGGGAGCCGCAAAAAGAAACAAAAAAGGTTTTAGCGGGACCCCCACACAGATGCAACCAAACGACTGGACGTGATGTGAGTGATGTGAGCCGAGTGTCAATGGCAATCCTCTCCAAGTGTTAAAATCCACGTCGCTTTGCACTTGAGCTTCATGCCATAATAATCCTTCGAATGGTCTGTTCTTAAATTACAAGTGTGGGGAGTGGGGGGGGGGGGGCTTCACCTTACAGCTCCACAGCGAGTGTGTGTGTGTGTGTGTGGTGATGGGGGGGGAGATGTAACAAGACTCGCATTCGGTATTTGCATTTGCCTTACCCCACGACTCAAAAGACTTGACAGGGTTTTTAATGTGAAGTGTGGTGACTGTGCTTTTGTAGGTGGACGCTGATGAGTAAATATCAGGCACACAGCTATTTCTACTGCCCCCTCCACCCCCAACACACACACACACACACACACACGCGTAGCCAAGAAGTGAAAGAGCGATTTTACCCAACCGAGACAAGCGAAAATTTGTGAAATATACACAATGATAATGATAATAATCCTTGCATTTGGCACACCGCTTTTATCAGGTCTTCGAGACGTCTCAAAGCGCTTCACAGGTTATACTGTGAAGTTAATTGACTGTGTGTTTTGTGGGGGGGAACGAAAGTGGGTGTTTATGTATGCAATAATTACATCATTGGCAAAATAACTCATATACAGTATATATGCATATATGTATCGATATCTATATGTGTATACGTACATACATATATAGTGTGTGTATGTAATGCATCATTATATATATATTATCCTAAGGGTTATTTTGCCAATGATGCATTTTTAAATACATAAATATAAACATATTCCGAATTTGTTTTATAAAAATGGGTTAAAAAATGCACCTCACAGAAAATGTAAAATTGATGACCCCTGGGCTATTCCCCTCCCACTCCCTGAGGCTGGTATCCCCCCCCCCACCACCCGTCCCTCCAAGGCTGGTGCGACAGAAATCTATTGAAAGCATCAAATAAATTGGACATTGGAGCCACTCGGCTGTTGGTTAATAATTGATTGGGGGGAAACCGCGTTAGCAGGGCTCCGGCTTCCAACTAACTAACTCACTGGTCTGGCGAGGTTGTGGCCACTGCTAATCAAATCAGCCTTCTCTTTAGTCTGGTTGGGGTTATTTTGTGAGGGGAGGTGTGCGCTTGTATGTGTATATGTATGTGTGACGGGGTAATGGAAGAGAAAGTCAAATCAAGTATCTCTCTCTCTCTCTCTCTTTCTCTTTCTACCTGTTTTGAGAATAAAATAAAATCTGCTGATTGCGGTTATTGTTGTTATCACCTCAGAAAACGCTGCACATCTCCGCAATCTATTATAACAGGTCGGGCGACTGTGATTACATGAAGCTTGGGTTAAGAAACTGATTTGGTGAATTGACTGTATATTTTGTGGGTAAAACTGGTCAATCCACAACGGTTTGTGGGAACGCTGCTGTGCGCAATTGGCTGCTGTGTTTCGCCCACGAAATACACAGTCAATTCACTTTACAGTATATTCTGTGAAGCGCTTTGAGACGTCTCGAAGACGTGATAAGGCGCTATATCAGACGCAATGATTATTATTATTATTATCATTGTGATATTGCGGTTCCAAGCTGCGTGGAAGTAATATATATCTGAGCTGTATTGCCTGTATATCATCAAAACAGACTGTATAAACACAATAATAAGGGCACCTTATTATTGCAAATGATTCGGGGTTGTTTCACATCCTCATTAAACATCTCAACGCGAACCAGTCTCAATCATAAATGTTATCTCGTGCGCTATTATCATAATACTACTAATGATAATGATCCTTGCGTTTGATATAGTGCCTTATCGCATCGTTGAGACGTCTCAAAGCGTTTCACAGAATATACCGTAAAGTGAATCGACTGAATATTTTGTGGGTGAAACTGGTCAGCCAAATTGTGCACAGCAGCGTCCCACAAACAGTCGTGGCCATATTATTTTTTTTGAACAAAAGGGATTATTAGCCATTCGTGTGTTACATTATTATTATTATTTTGTACGTGTTAGAGTTGACGTAGCGTTTCATTAGGACTGTGTGAGGACTCACTTATACAGTGATGGAGCGAGATGCGAAGCAATGAGGGTTGGATTGTAATAATAATAATAATCCTTGCGTTTGCTATAGCGCCTCATCACGTCGTTGAGTCGCCTCAAAGCGCTTCACGGAATTTACTGAAAAGTGAATTGACTGTGGGTTTGTGGGGAGAAACGTACTTTTTTGTTGGGTGTTGGGGGTGGGGGGGAACTGTACTTACATTTTTTAAGGCAATTGATTTAGAGAGACTGGGAACTCGTGAGATAGCCCTGCAATGTGCTACTGAGTTTAAATGGAAACTGTGTTGGGAGAGGGAATAAAAGTGAGCCCTCGTGAATTTCGTCCAATATCGGTGGCGCTTTTGTGTGTGTGTGTGTGTGTGTGTTATTTTTTGCCACTTGTTGCTTTTGCTTTGGCGAGTGACTTAAGAAAGCGAGTGCCTGGACAGTTAGCAACAAAAAAAAAACAGTTGCCTCTCTCTCTCTTACATGCGATCGCTATATATTTGATGGAGAAATTCGAAGCACAGGCGATGCTTGTGAGAATTTAATGCGGTGATTGTAGGCTGGTTGCAATTGCGAGCAACTTTTATGGTCGTGTCCCCGGCAGAAACTGACATGCCCTTTTCATGTTCCCTGGACCCCCCTCTCCCCCCCCCCCCTTCTCTCTCTCTCTCTCTCTCTCTCTCTCATGTATTCCCAAGACTCCATTGAACCCTCAAGACTTCTTTTTTTGATAGAACAGAGAGCCCTCTGAATTTCTGACAAGCTGAAATGAATTTAGGATCGATTTTACTCCAGTCAGAGTCAACAACAAATTAAATTTGATGATCTTCCCCCCCCCCCCCCTCTCTCTCTCTCTTTCCTGGTCAAAATTGGGGTTGTGTGTGTGTGTTTGTTGTTTTGCCGACCAATTGCTTGTGTCTGTGTAGCTTCAATCAACGACATGCGTGGAACAGTAAAGCATTTTCCAATTTCATTTCAGTCCCATCATTTAGTTGTATTCCCCAATGCTTTTTTTCCTTCCTTCCTTCCTTCCTTCCTTCCTTCCTTCTTTCCTTCCTTCCTTCCTTCCTTCCTTCCTTCCTCTCTCTCTCTCTCTCTTTCTCCTCTCACTCTTTCTTTGTCAATGATATGCTTTCCTTGTTTTTTCATATAATTTCCCAGTTTAATTCACATCCTGGGCTGGGCTGAAATGCACAAGTAGGTGATGGGGAGAGAGTGGGAGATAGATAGAGAGGGAGAGAGAGATTGAGAAGGAAAGTGCTTTAAATGATTATTAAGCTTGTTTCACACGTATAGAAAATTCAGAGCTGTTATTTGCAACTGTGTAATGTGACACAAGGTGCCCTTTACCGGCGTGAGCACTTAATTTTATATTTTTAAAAATTGGCGTGAAAATGATTTGTTTCGATTGGAATTTTGGCAATGTTTTTCTCTCTCACCCCCCCACACCCCCCCACCCCCCACCCCCCTCCCCCCCCACCCCGCCCGCCCAGGATAAAAGATAAATCTCCCCAAAGTAATGTTACAAGAATCTTCACTAACTCTAACGCACCAACTCATCTGTTGTGCGCGCTTTGCACAGCTGAGCTCTTCCCCCAGAACAACTACAACATAATGTGTGTGTGTGTGTGCATTTAAGCTTATTTTTTTTTACACACACCCAAACGGTGCTGAAATCGTTGTGCTGGTTAATAAGTCGTTGTTTTTTTCTTTTTTTTCCCTTGAGGGCGGGGGTTAAGTAGCCGGTTCTTAATTTGATCCGCACTCAAAATTAGCTTTATCCTATTCCTAGTCGCTGAGAAAAGTGTTTGCTCACAGCTTCCCAAAGACAGTCAAGGATACGAAAGTGACTTTATCGGCTCGAAAAGACAGACAGTCACTTACTTTTATCGGTTGGGAGAGCGTGTGAAGCGTGTCACCGCTGGCTGAGCTTATCTTCCGTATTAGAGATGTAGTCTTTCAACACCTTCCACACCCCTGTTCACAGACACACACACACACACACACACACACACAGAGACATAAACAAGGGAGAAAATAGTCTTGTCAACAACAGAGATTTGTAACTCAGGATCACACACACACACACACACACACACATGGGTTTAAACACGATTTTAGATTAGTCAGATAACTCGATTGCTTTTTTTGTAGGGAGCAACAGAGATATTCCAATATATCCCCCCCCCCTCCCCACCCAACCACACACGCACACACACACACTCACTCCTCCATTGGAGATATCTGCAATTCAATTTTCCCATTGCACCCTTGAGAAAAACTAATAGGGTGTATTTTGAACCAAAGTTGTTGGCATTTTGTTTTGGGTGGGGGGAGTTTGTGTGTGTGTGTGTGTGTGTGGCGGAGGGGGGGGGGATTATAAAATGGTCAAATAAAATTCAAAAAATAATAATTAATGTCTTCAGGGATCTGTTACTATAAACAGCCACTGACCTGCCCAGCCTCCTACACTTCCTGGTTTACTTGCTGATTTTTTCACATGCTTTTAAACCTTGCTTGGGAGATCTCATTAATAAGCCTGATATTAATGCGTCAGGCATTCCTCGAATTTAGCCCACAAAATACACAGTCAATTCGCTTTACATCATTCTGTGAAGCGCCTTGAGACGTCTCGACGACGTGATCAGGTGCCACATCAAAAGCCAGGATTATTACTATTATTATTATGATTATTATTATTACTCCTTGTACAAACCGCTTGACGTTGGATCTCAAACTTTATTTGGATGTGCAACAACAACTAAAGTTTAAAACGCGTCTTTCGCGTGGGCTAACGTCTGGGAACGCTTAACACGATGGTTCGAAGACTCGGATGTTACAGTATTTTATTTTAACCATCCTTGCATTTGATGCAGCGCCTTATCACTCCTTCCAGACGTCCCAAATCACTTCACAGGATATGCTGTAAAGTGAATTGACTGTATATATTGTGGGCGAAACATTTCTGATAGTTTGGTAAAAGTGTCTCAATTCGTAGGGAATTCGTCAATTTCTGATCGATCTGAATATTTCAACTGATGATGACATTACAGAAAAAGTGGTTGATCATATAAGACATAGGATTCCCCCCCCACCACCCTCCCACCCCTCATCACAACTCTTACAGCAAAACTTAACGGAACGCATTTTAAGTCTGCCCTGTAGTGTGTCCACAATGTCAGATTTTATTGTGTGCACTTCTGTGGTCGAGCTAAACAAATAGAATTAATTCAACCTGCAATTCAACCACGCAACCATTGACAATAATAAATAATAATCTGGTCATTCAATGTTCGTGGGACATTGCTGTGGTTAATTCAGGTGACCGTATATTCCGTGAAGCGCTTTGAGACGTCTCGACGGACGTGATCAGGCGTTATAACCAAATGCAAGGATTATTATTATTATTATTATTAGAACCTGTGTGTAGAAGAATAGGGATGTGGCAATAATTTATAGCACTGCTACTGTAATGAAGAACAAGGTTGGAAATTGGGAACGGTACAAACATATCTGGGGGATTGATTCCAATGATCATTGCAAAGTATTTTTTTAAAACAGGGGATACGGTTTCAAATTAAATGAAAATAAACCTTTGAAGTGTATAAGTTTAACACGCGTTGCTCCGAATAGACTGCGCAATATCTTGCATTTGTGTGGGTGTTTTTTTCTATTCCCACACGAGATAGTTTACAATGTTGCGCTCAACTCTTTCACAGGTATTTAGCGAATTGTACGATTTTAGCTGTTTGGGATACAGTTGGGAGACTGTTTTGTATTTCGACCTGTTCACATGTATACATATATATACAGTATTATATTATGTATTTGACAGCACAACTTATGTATCTTGATTCAAGGTACAGAATTTATGTTTTTTTCTTTTAACAAAAACAATCCAGATATTGCGGTTATTTATTCTTTTCACATTTCTGATGCGCATCATTGAAATGACCAAAACAACGCGGATGTGCGTCAATTGCGTTGATATGTACAGTAATAAAGTTGAGAATATACAGTACTTTGCGTAAGTCATATATATTGTGACTATATTGTGGTGGTGGTGTGTGTGTGGGGCGGGGTGTGGGGGGGGGGGGGGGGAGAAGGATATGTATCTGGGAAATATCAAAAAACGCAAGGCTTGATATTAAAGTAAACCTTGAATTTATTCTAGGATTTTGGTAGCAAAGGACAAATAAGTTTATTTCTAGCGTATCAAACGCTGCAGAGAAAAGCGACAAGAAAAGCACATAGCAAATCCCGCAAAATCTCGCAACTGAACTGAAACGTGTTTTGTGGATAAATTAGATTGCTTGACTGCAAATCACACAGTTTAATTTAATTTAAAAAAAATCTACATTGAGAATCTTTCTCTGTCGTTCTCACACGCTTCTTTTTGCAGATACCAGCGTACAGTATCGCGAATTAACAGTAAAATTACACGTTTAAGAATGGATTCAATACCTTTTTTTTTGCTGAACGTCTGTGGCTAAATTTTGGGGGCTTTTGATATTTTCTTTCTACGCGATAGCAACATTTAATTTATCGTAACCAAAAAAGGCAAAACGCACGTTATGACCCAATTTTTACCCAATAATTAATATTTTGACATTAACTGCCTCTCGGATATCGAATTAATCATCAAGTTCAAAGCAAGTTTTTTTTTATTTCCCTCATGTACCTTTTCCCTAAACTACGCATCTTTAGTCGAGAGTGAAGCAACTGGTTGTTTTAAACTTGTATTAACTTGTAAATCGTTGTTTTAATCTATAATGCGCTTTGAGATTTCGCTAATTTGCCCTGTCTGGACAGTCAGTCTGACTTTTCTTTCATGTTAGGAAAAAAAATCTAATTTATTTCGGATTTTATTTGAATTCCACTAATATACATTGCAATGTAATCGCGAAACAACAAAGGAAAAACGTTTCCTTTTGACAGTGATATATTCGGGGGGGGGGGGGAGAGATATTTTTTTAAATAGCATTTAAAATAGCTTTCTATTTGAAATCTAACAGTTTCGAGAAAGCTTTCGAAAGACATTCGGAATAACACGGTTGAAATGGGTATTCAAAAAAAATAAGCGGGAGTGAGTGGATTAAACGTCCAGAAGGGATGTATGTTTGTTTCTTTTATTTTTTAAAAAATGTTGAAATTAAGTGATCATGATTTCAAAACTAACCTGTAATCATTCGGATTTTCCTTGGGCTATTTATTCCCTAGAAAGGAGTTAAAAAGGACACGACTGCGAGGAAGTGCTTATTGGGAAAAAGGGAGGTGGGGTGGGGGGGGGGGGATATAGGGTAAAATAATCAAGCGTTTTATGGATTTGTAGTAAGGTTTATGGGATTAAGCTGCCACTCTGCTTAATCGAAGCACAGGTAATGTATATCTGCCAGTCGCCAGCCCTTGTTCCCCCAACTAAACACACCCCCACCCCCCCCCACCCCTGAAATCTTTAAATGAAGGTGCCAGTAAAAGTGTTCCTGTTTCAGTTAGTTCCTCCTGTGGTTAGTGATCCAGAACGGTGCAGTCTAGCCTAATGGAATCATTAGGCTACCTGTGTGTGAATACACAGTGTCTGAGTGGCCCTGGCTCCAACTTTGACCAATATGATGAATGCTTTCAACAGCCCCTATAGGGTGGCAACAGGCCCTTTGCGAAATGGGAGTTTGTCCACTACACACACACACACACACACAGACAGACAGACACACACACAACAGATGTGAGGAGTGTAAAACGAAAGGGGGGGAGCGTTTGCTGTTGGACGGGATTCCATTGGCGTCTGGTTAATATCTGTCACTGAAACTGTCCATAGGGTGGTTTCTTTTGGATGACTGCTCGGGTCTTATTTGTTTGGAGGGGGGTGTAGTTGGGATATAGATCAGCATCGTTGGGCCAGAAGAAACTCCCTTACCCCCCTCCTTCCCCACCTCCTCTCCCCTCCCCCCACCTACAGAAACCCCCTTGAGCAACTTAAGATCTGACATTGAAAATAAAGTGTTGTGATACCTATTTATAAACAAATATTTTAGGCTTCATTCGCTGCTACGATTTCTGGAAGATAAAGCCATATACCATGTGTTATTGGATCGGTTTGATCGCCTGGTCTATTTAAAGTAACAAAGTAAGGTTGATGGGACCTAGACAGACTGGCACCAGTGGTGATCTGTAGGCAATGGGTCTGTCAGTTTAAGCTATAGGACAGGTGTAAATCTCATTGACATTCCACCACCCCCCCCCTCCCCAACCCCCTTCCCCCACCCCTTTACCTGAATCTTAAACTCACTGGAGGTGAGCAAATTAACAACTCATTGTTTTTCTTTAAACCAACACTAATCGCAAGTAGCGCACACACACACACACACACACACATCTTTTTTTTCTCGAAAGTTAAGTCATTTCCAGAATATCCCCGGCTTTGTTTGAAAAGCATCCGATCTTTAGCACCTACCAAAGCCAATTTTGCGCAACAGGTTTTACTTAAACGCAAAGCAATGATTACAGCTGGACAGAGTTGCAAATAGAATCGTATTCGCAGGTTTCTGCAGAAGTATTTTCTATATATATATATACAAAAATTAAATGTGATGGGTGGGTGGGGAGGGAGGAGGGGGGGGAAATAGATTGCACACCCGATCCAGACATTTTAAGCATGTTTGACATTTTGCACTGAATGAGTTAAATGTGTGCAGTGTTCAAAAATAACACACAGTATGAAGGCTTGCGTTCGAGATGTCAATAAGCGTTTAGGAACCCTCTTTTCAAATTAAAGAGCTATTTGATGATAGCTTGGGTTCATAAAAAGATACTATTGCATCGCGATATTTCTTTTTAGACTCCCGCCCCCACCAAAAAAAAAGTTGCAACGGTGAATCGAATAAACAAGAGGAATAAAAACGATCCCAGAAGAAGGATAAGTGTCGTATTTTATATTTATTTCTTATATTTTAAAAAAAATGCGCTGTTTGCTGATA